CTTTTCAGACTTGTTGCAACACTGACTGCTATTGGAGATCCTTTCTGCCCACAGCGTCACCTTCCACAAAAAGTCTTTTAAGTTACTTGGATGATATAAGTTACACCGTTTAATTCCTCTTTGAGAAAAATAAAGTATTATTTATTTGAACTGAAAATGATGACGTCAAACCAAAACTCCCACAAGATTATTAAGGTGTTGAGAATCCAGTGTCTTAAGAATTAACTTGGTCTTCATACAATCCAAACCTTCCACTGAGTTAGGTTAGATGTAAACAAACCAAAAAAATTATATATGTATGTGCTGCGTTTTCCTCTCCTGTTTCGATTGAACTACCTGCTTTTAAAATATTTTAACCACTCTGCAGGAAACATCCGGACTGTGCCGATCGGTTACATCAGCTCCTGTTTTTCCGTGAAGAACGGGACGCCCAGGCAGCCGACTATCTGCAGCCCGTCACGGGCTCAGCTGCGAATCCAGCAGAGCGTTTTCAACAACCCCGAACATTCGGTACTGGGCCTCGAGCAGTACTCACATGTCTGGTACGCCACGCATACACTGCACATATCTCCAGGATTCCTTTAACCTGTCAAGCTTAGAAAAGCCTCGAATGGGTTTTGTCCTGCTCGTGACCTTCTGACCTTCTGATAAACACTGTTTAATTTATTTATTTCATAAACTACAGGAAAGAATTGCTAATTCTAACTAAATTAAATCTACATGTCCAATATGGTTTCAAAGTGATCAACATTTTCTTATGGAGTCCCCCAAGGCCGAATGCTTGACCTCTTATTCTTTTGTTGTTGTGCTTTATGAAATAAATGAATTAAACTGATTCTAGGAAATTTGTTTAATAGTTTATTCAGGAAAATTCAAAGTTGTTGTTGATGTTAGTTTGAGATGCAAAATTAACATGAGTAGGAGGAAAATGCGGTGAGGTTCTCTATCTGCCCCAGGGTTGTTTCAGACACTTGATGCGAAAACTGGTGGCATGATGGGATTTTCAGCTCAGTTCCTTTTTTCACCTTGATAAACTGAATCAAAATCCACATAATTGCAGATGAAGCCCAAATTATGGTGTCTGCACATCCTGAAAGAGTCTTAAATTTATGTATCTAAAATTAAGGCCTTAAATTGTTTTAAATTTATTGGGGAAAAAACAACTTTGCCCTTAAATGTGTTAATCACAGGCCTTAAATTTTGTTGTGGTGGGATTATTTAATCTGGTATATTCTATTAAGTTTTTCTTGCTTCTCGTGGAAGCAAGAAAACCTACCATTAGCTGACTACTAATATATCCTTGGCTAATTAGCTAGCTAGCAAACAAGCTATCTACCTCCATGATGGGTCACTGCGCACTTATCTCCTGTTGGCTGATATTCTCTTTAGCCATTATACAAGAAACTTAAACTCTGCCTTTGAGGCAGAGACTCTTTTCCAACCCATATGTAGTTTTGAACTTATTCCGGTCAAACTGGCCACTTACCACTCCACCCCATGCTGAGGAGCATTATTGCTTGAAGATCCCAAAATTATCTTTTGTAACCACAAATATAGCCCTGAGATGATCTTAAGCAGAAACCTTTCTTCATTGAGTAGGACATCAAAATATTATGTTTTTGCTACTTTTTTCTGCAATTTTTGAAGTTTGGAAGTGGACCTTTATTGATAACATTCAATCTTTACAGGATTATTTTTCTTTTCCATAAAAACGGACATCAGGGTTACAAAGCCAAGGTGAAACCTCCCAGGCTGAACGGACAGAGAGTTGGAGTTTACTCGACACGAAGTCCACACCGACCAAACTCCCTAGGACTGACCCTGGCCAAGCTGGATAAAATTCAAGGTATGAAGCCATTTTGCATGAGATGGATGTAGACATATTGCTGTGGGAATTCACGAGTGAAAATCCCGCCCCTCTGCTCCCTGCTGGAGGGCAAAAAGCTGTTCGCTGACAATGACTAGCATTAGTTTTAGCTGTCAAGTCGTCAACATCATGCACTAAATAATAAATGTACATATGATGTATAAAAGAAAAGGGACACACTTCTTTGTCATCACTAGGCCTACTAGATTCAGTCGGTAAAAATACTGAATCTTGACCTGTAACACTAAAAATACAGGTCAGGAAAAAGCTTTAAATGGAAAAAAATGGCGAGAGACGGAAGTAATAGGTCAGTTTTCTGGCTTGACTTTGACAACCGTAACATGTAGATGTGCTGCAGAATTTGTTGTCTTACAATTTAGTTAAAAAAAGGCGACCGTAGATTCAGTAGATTTAAATTAGCTAATCTACCACAGCAATCACTTATTAAAAATCGCAAAGTAAACATCAAGCCTAAAAACATAAAACTGTAATAGACTGAATGTTCTGCTTTTTGTGTGTTTTTTTTTTGGTGTTGACTCCTGACATATTAGTCACCTTGCTGTTGTCAGTTGCTATAGCAAAGGGTCTGTGCTGAGCGTTGTAGTTCTTCAATGGTTTCTCTGCATTATTTTGCTGTCACTAAATTAATAATTTTTATAGGTTTCACTTTGTTTTATGTCGTGGCAGCACAGTTATGGATGGCATGTGAAAGACTCAACTTTTTGCTTTCCAGCGTTCTCCATGAAATTTCCCCATGTAAACAATAACATGCAGTGGGTTTATAGTTCTTGTGGTGTGCGGCGTTTTGATTAAATCCTAAAATATTTAATTCATTTTCTAGGTGACACGCTGCATCTCTCAGATATTGATATGATTGCCGGCACTCCAGTCCTGGACATTAAACCGTACATCCCAGAATACGACTCTCTCAACACGAGAAAGCGGCTGGAATCAAACCCAGATCTACAGACTGAAGAGAAGGAGGTGAACATCTCAAGCTTCCATCAGGAAGACAAGACAGATGATGATGATGAGATTCTTCACCTGAAACAGAAATCGGAATTAGGAGTTTGTTTAACGCCGCCACAGACTCAGGTTTTTCCCAAAGAAGCTGCTAGTTTGCTGAAAGAAGTGGAGTCTTATGTAAACGAAGCTGATCTGACACCACCTGACTGTGAGGACAAAAACAAAGTGTCAGACTGTGGAAAAACCGAACCAGCAGCAGAGATCGTGGACCGGCCCAGTTATGGCAGTGATTCCAGTACAACCATCGCCGACTGGATCAGAGAGCCTCCGGTTTCCAGTCTGGATGTGCGTTTCACCCCTCAAGCTCAGAAACAGCTGGACGCGTTTCTTCCTGCACATTCCTCTGGTAAGACAATAGGTAAAAGTTTATGACCTCCACAAGATGGCGCTGTTGTTTCTGACTTCTTTTAAAACAAAAATCTCCAAACTTTTTGTTACATGAGCCAAAATTGTTAAGTAAAAGGTATTCACAAGCAAAACTAAACTAAATTAAAGCATGCAAAGAAAGTTGTCTAATTTTTTTATTTGACTTTTTTTTGTAGAAAAGAGATGTTATTCATGATAAATTCAAAATGTAAAAAGGATTGTGCCCATTTACCGTATCAAAAGAAAGGCTTCTAGTTTTTTTTATTTTTTCAGGCTGATTCAAACAAATTTATTCTCAGTTGTAAGAAGGACATTTAGGTCATTTTCTTTCAAATGCCAGCTGTAATTCACCAATTTTAATCAGTTAATTAAAGCAAATTTGAATGCAGCAAAAGTGGATTTTCAGTAAAAGTTTCTCGATAAACACGGTTCTAGTTACTATTAAAGCCTGGTTATAAAATGACAAATACTTTGTGTTATGCTTAACATTTTCCATTGCAAAAAAATTATATTAGCAATAATTTTACCACGATTTTAAAAAAGTTTAGTAAACAAATTTGTATCATTCTTGAACTGCAGTTGAGTGCCACAAAATATCAGTCTAAGGGCCACAAATGGCTCAAAAGCCACAATCTAGACACCCTTGTTTTAAAACCACGTCTCTCTTAACAGAACCGTCTGAGTGCGACAGACCCAGGTTTAAGTTTCTGCGCAGTCCAGAGGAGGCCGGCGCCGCCATCAGGGCTGTGCTGTCAGCAGACCCCAGGTCAGTTTACAGGAGAACCCGATGCAGAGACAGACTCTTCTTCTTCTCCCTGGACACGGCGGACGTCACCTGCTGGTTTGGACAGGGGTTCGCTGAGGTTCTGGAGGTCCGGCCTGTGAGACCACCTGGACCTGAAGATCCGTCTCAGTAAAACAATAAACTGCCTGTTAAATTCTCCTCACTGCAGTGTCTGAAGACAAAAGGATGCATTTTATTTTTTTCTCATCTTTGATGAAAAATAAATGGCTTTAAAGATGTTTTTCTTTGTCTTTTTTCAAAATGTATTACCTTTACAAATGATTGTGTTCAAATGTACAACAGATAGTCCACGTTTATTGGCACTCAGGGTGAAGATAAAATATATAAAAAGAGAGAGAGCAAGAGAGTACTCGTGCACACGCACACACACTTGCTCAACATATATCTTGAGTAGAAAAAATGCTACACATCCATAAGGCTATCACCACTACTCTGCTTTTTAGCAAAAAAAGTGCAAAAAATGTATTTTGTAATGCAGTCACATGTCAAACTCAGTTTATTTTTTAAAAAGCCTTTAAGCGGGTATTAATATTTTATTAAATGAATATTTATGCATTAAAAATTATTTTTGTATTTGTCTGATGTAATATTACCACATTGAATTGACCTTTAAACATGAAGTAATAATTCAGAGAATACTTTGCTGAAAACTTCAGTTTGTGTGTAATTAATCCATACAGTGTGTTTCAGTTAGTGAATTGTTACAGAAATAGACAGTAACAGGCTAATTCATCGACTGTATCTGTATATAAAAATTAAAAGTAAACATTATTCGGGTAAAAAAATGTTTTAGAAAAAAAACTTAAAACAGCGCCTTGTTGTAGTTGCATTTCCTTCCTTTAGGTGGCAGCAGTACACAAAAGCAGGGTTTGTGGGTCAGAAGAAGAGAAGCGACCAATCGGTGCCGAGTTTGCGTTTTTAAAACGGTCTGTTTTGAACGTAACGCGGTTGACGTCAGCTCGGGGAAAACAGGTTTATTCATCAGATTTGAAACCTTGGTTCAAGTTGGCAGTTTAAGTCTGGAAGGTAAAGTATTTTTAGACTATATATCGCCCGTGTTTTAAATAATTGCAGTTAAATGTTCATGTGGTTTAATTGGTTGTTCGTTAACTGACTCCGTTACAAGAAAACCATCTTCAGCTAACGTAAGTTTTCCATAACTTAGACGTGTTTTAATGCTCTCTGAGAGTCTTTGGCTGCGTTATGCTCTACTATTATTGTTCTAAACACCCCCAATTAAGATATCAAACTGTGAATATATGTTATAGCATTTACAAGGTGTTTAACAGGTCCTGATTATCTGCCTGACATCAGAAGCTAGCTTGTTTCTGATTTCTGTGTAAATAATGAAGAAACTAACACCTGCTAAACAATGTAAATAAACACAGTAAATATGGTAAAACATAAAAATATAACAGTATCAGTGTTGTTTATTAAAACATATTAAATGTTAATGCTTAATATGAGCACTAAGCCAGCAACAGACTGAAAATAAGTAAATAGTGACAATTAATAAACATTACTGTCAGATAATCGCATATAAAAGTCATGGATTATGAGAAAACAAATCGAAGTCTTAGATTTACTCTTCTGTTCATTCCTTTAAATGTCAAAAGTTTTAATTGAGATAATTCTAATTGGCATAATGCTATCTAAGATAATATTTGATAATTAGAGTAAATTGGACATGATGTGACTGAATTGATTTTTCCTTTATCAGTAACTTTGGGATGACATTTTTTGTGAGTTTGTACTATTAAAAATAAAATAAACTGAGCTGAATTTACTTGTCCTTATGAAACAGCATATGGCGGCAGTGGGAAATAAAGACTCCCTTTTAGAAGGAATGAACGTGAACCAGAACCTGGTTCAGTTGAGTTTTAAGAGGACTTGGACACAGAAATCACAGAAGCACTGGCCTTTTTGGGAGTATTTATACTGTAAACAAAAATACACTTACCGTGAAAAGAAAGAACTGGATTAATGGCAGCAGTTGTTAAATGGTCTGTTGTACAAGTGAACCACGAATAATCAGAGAACCATTAATCAATATTGCAGCTGCAATGGAATTCTTAGGTGTGTTATGTGATTGAGAATTGATTGGGGATGTAAAAATAGATTATTATTGTTTTAAACTTGCAGCTGAAGAGGTTGTTTATGCGATTGATCTTTGTGAGAGGATGTCACAGTCCAGCATAGAAGACTGGGTAAGTCTTCTGCACACGGTGTGAGATTATTGCTGAGTTTAGTATCTGATGATGATCCACTAAACGTTTTGTTGATGGTAGTCTTCCAGTAGAAGAGGCGAGCGTACTCCTCTGAGAAGCCTGGAAAATGAGACTCCTTCATCGAGGACCAGGTCAAAGCCACAGTTCAGCGGTGACACAGTGAAAGCTAGCATGGTGAGTTTGTACAAACTTTCAAAAATATTGACTTTTATTTATTTTTCTTTTATTTGTGGGTTGATGTTTGGAAAGTTACACAACCCAAAATTCCCAGATTATAAGATAGAAAATGGAGTTTATTTTTTAAAGTCATAATTTCTGCATGTTATTTATATTTATAAATGTAAGTATCACATTAAATATTTAATGAGCAAGCTAAATATGTATCTTCAGCTTAAACATTTAGCTTTAAAGTAAAAGCTAAATGTTTTTTAGCTTTTACTTTCAGTAACAAGTTAAATATTAAATTTGCCACTAAATTTAGATTCATGTAATTAGCAAGCTCAATACTAAGTTTCAAACTAAATACTTACTTCGCAAGCTAAATATTTAGCTTTCTAAATATGTAAATATGCTAATTACATATTCAGATAGACAAATGCATAGCATAATGGAAATACAACTTTGAAAACGGACCCCCAGTTTTTTCTCATAACAGGCTACGAAGCTGAAATTGTTCATGTTATTTTTAACAGTGTAAATTTTGCAAACGGCTCTGTTGTTACTCATTACTAAATCTCTTCCACAGCCAGACGTTCATCTCTGTGACGCACAGACCCAGTTGGGAACTCTGACCGATCCCGTTTCCAGGGATACCACCCAGTCAGAGCGTGGACTTGGAGACGTCACATTCAAAACCTTCATTTGTTACGGAGGTGAAGTTGAGATTTCAGATTCCTCAGACGGTGGAGAGCAGAGTTTGATTTTGCCTCAACATGGGATTACTCTTACCGCCGAAGCAGAAGATTCAGTCGCTTCACCCAGCAGGACGGAGCAATCCTGCAGTGAGCATGTGGAGCATCCATATTGGAATTGCAGCGTCAAACAGCCGGATTCTCCAGTCGCCTGTGATGGAGGTGAGGTTAAAGTTTCTGACTCCACTGGATTAAAGGAGGAGACGGTTCCTCTGCCCCAGGATGACCTCTGGGGTCCAGCACAAGACGACGGCACAAACTCAGCTGACTGCTCCCTGCTGCTTCCAGCGGAGCATGTCGATCTGGACTGCAGCAGTGGAAACGATGATATCTCTACAGCACAAACATCAGAAAACCCAGATCGTCTGATTCTGAAGCTGCTGAACTGCAGCGGTGGCGCGGTAGAAATCCCAGCGGACGCTGATGTCGCAGATGAGACTACTCCTCTTTCTCACACCTGCTCTGGCTACAACCACAGCATGGATCCGAGTGTGTTAGCCGGTGATTATGACCTGGAAAACAGTAAAGATCACTTAGATCATCCCTACTGCAACGTAAAATACAACTCCTCGCTTCCACCAGAGGAGGTGAACATTGTTCCAGACATACAACCATGCAGCGCTGAAATAAACTCAGAGCTACCTGATGGGCAGGATGAGAACTTTGATTGGAAATCAGGTAAATCCCAGGTGTCTGAGAAGATGTTGACTTCGCCTAAAGAGGATTACAACAAAGAACAAATGAACGACCACCTGAAGAATGGAGAAGTCGTGTTTGATATTAATCTATCACCTGAGACAAACGCATCATTAAAAATAGTGGATGAGATTCCTAAAAACACTCCTTTAGTTGCGTCCGACTGCAGCCATCTTGGTGCTTCGGCAGAAACTCTACCACAGCAGCAGCAGCTGGATTCCACATCCCACTCCGAGGCAAAAGACAGCGCTCTGGGTTCTTTGGGTCTCTGTAACTCTGCAGAAAAAGCTCCTCCTGCATCTCCTGCCATCTTAAAAGTCCTGTCAGAGTGTCCGTCAGTTGCCTCCGCCCTGCAGTTTCTCAGCCCCATCGGGAAGAGAGCGTCTCTGTCCGCGCCGAAGCGCCCCGTGGTGTCGGGTCAGGACATGTTTCTACCTGACAATTCTGCTCTGGAGGATGAGAAAAGTCTTTTGGCTCCTGTTGACGTTGACTCCATGGGGTTGTTAGCAGAGCAGCTCGAAAGCCTAATGCCCTGCCCTCTGCTTAACTCCACTGCTGTAAGTTCAAAGCCACAGGAGGTTTCTGGGAAGAAAGCGCAGCTGGAAACAGCGCCACTTATTTCTGATGGCCAGTTTCAGCAGCAGCTTCGGCAGATGGCCGAGTTCCTCATGATGGCGTGTGGAAAGATGAGCGTCGCTCATCCTGCTGCCTTCATGGCCCCCTCAGACAGAGTGGATCCTGCAGAGTCCCACAGTGTCTGTGTGGGCACCAGTCCACTGAAGATGGTGGACCACAGCCTGAACACGTCAGGAATATTTGTGAAAAAGAGGGAATTCTCTGTGACCGATTCCTGCACAGCGACCGAACCACTCATCTGGAAGTGAGTGGTGTCTCTTTCTTTTTCTTTCTAACTTTCTTTCAAAAGTTCTTCTGTCTTTCCTTCATTCCTTCCTTCCAAACATGGCATACAATTTACATTTGCAAAAACTGCAAAAAAAAACCCAGATTATATTTTTTTGTTTGTTTCTGTTGTAAGATTTATACAAATCAAATTGCAATACATATCGGTACCGCCACCCATCAGAATGTATATTGTGAAATGAATTTTATGCCATGTGGATGGATGTAAAGTTCTCCGGTGTGGTTTCAGTTTACCTCCAGGCAGCCTGGAGAGCCTCCCGCGGCTGGAGCTGGAGCAGAGGCTGATGTCCAGCATGATCATGGTGGAGGCGCTGGTCCAGCAGCTGGCTGCAGCCAGGGCGCACCGCTGCCCCTCTTTGGGCCCGGCTCCTTCGGACCTGAGAGAGAAGCTGGTTCAGACGGACCACACTGAGCTCAGTCAGGTAAAAACACTGAACGAATGATAACTAGGAATGCAAGTTATCCATTGACCAGTGATTGATCTTATCGATCAACTAACAGCTAATTGATAAGCAGCCATTTTCTTAAAAATCTGAGTTTTCTCTTGCCTGAAGAGGGCTGACTGTCTTTCTATACCAACTGCCAAATTTTTCATGATATGCTGGACGTAAAAGAAAAAAAGACATTATGAAACTTAAGGAGCTTCTCGGGTGAATATATTTCAAAACATATAACATTAGATGTGTGTTTATGTGTGCATCCCACACCTGATTGGAAAAAAATGAGTAAATTCTTGCCTAGAATCTTGGAAATTTTGCGATTAATCTCAGAAATGTTGTAGAAAAAACTTGGAAATTTTTGAGTTTGAAAAGTCTGAAATTTGCAAGATAAAACTCAGAAATTTTGAGACTAATTTCAATTGGGAAAATCTAGTAAATCTCTTCACTAGATTTCCCCAATCTAGTAAAGAGTTTGGGGGGAAAAAACATGAAAATGTCTGCGTGTGAAATGATCCAAACTCAGTTTGGATCATTTACGGTTCTGGTATGGCACTGCCATCTTTTGTTTCTGTATCAACTGGCTCCACTTCAGGATGACCAGCAGCACCCTCTGCTGGATGGTGGCTAAACTGCAACACTGAAAGATCTAAGTGAACTCTATAAGTCAATAAATTGGGACTGATTTAAATCTAATAAACCATTAATTGTCACCCCTCATTAGCGTTTGTCTTTTTGATTTTTTTCTGATGAACATTGGTATTTTCATTCCTTGTTTAGACCACGATGTACAGAGATCTCTACCTGGAGGCTCTGAACCAGATAACTGAGCTGGAGCTTGATGGAAATTCCCTGCAGAATCTCATCCAGGCTCTGCAGGAGATGAGAGCCGCCATGGTGAGACAAACCTCAGATATCACCTCAGCATTTAAGCTGCTGTCACTGTTCATACGGGTGCTTGAAATCCTTGAAAATGTTTGAAATTCAGTAAGCCAAGATAATTTAATTGTCTTTATTAGTCAGCAAGGCAGTAGTACAACAATAAAAACAAAAATATATACATAAAAGGAACATCAATATAAAAAGTGAAAATTACATCAAAACACAAACGTCTTACAAAAATGAGGTGTTCTCAAGGAAAGTGCTTGATTTCTGTATAAAGTCCTTGAAAGTGCTTGATATTCAAACTGCTAAGTTTTGCAGTAAAATGCAACTTAAAGCTTGATCGAAAGCTTAAATTTGGAAAACATTACTTATAGTAGAAATCAGATATTCTCATACACCTAATTAAAAGACAAGTATTTGTTTATGACTTACGAAGGTAAATCAAACTAAACTTTTCTTGTTTCAGGTTAGTTAGAATTACCAAAATTACTTCTGTTTGCGAAATAAAAAATGACAAAATTTTATTTATGTATATTTATTATTCCTAATGGCTCAATAACTTATTGATCTGTGTAAAAAGGATGTAATGTTTTAGTTTCCCTTTTTCCCAATGTAGAAAACCGTCACAAGACACTATTAATAACAGTAATAAATTACATGCTGGTGAATTTTATATATATTTTTTAGTTTATTTGCATTGTTTTTATCTCCAAAGTGTGTTGCTGGAAGAGTTTGACAGCCTACCGTGAAAAGTGCTTGAATTTTGCTGAAAAGTGTCTGAATCCTGATCTGTGGACAGAGATAAAAATGTTTTTAAACCTGTTGGACTTTCTCTGCAGTCTTCTTTGAGCAACGACACAGATGTAGCTCTGTCCAACATGAAGAAAATGGGCAAAACCATCAGGGAGGACCATCAGAACCTGGCGTCCCATGTATGTAAACGTATATCTCTCAGCTGATTGAATATGCGCAATAATTAATCCAACTTCGTTGTGCTGTTCTGTAGTACGAGCTCATGAAGTCCCTGTTGGAGAAATCAAAGGAAACTCAGAGAAGACTCCTGGAGAAGGTGAAAGAAGTTCTTCAGCAGAGGAACAGCATGGAGGCGCGGATGGAAGAAGCCTTCGCGGCCAAGGAGGCAGTAAGGAAAATATTAAAATTAATATCTCATATTAACTACAACTAAAAACTCCCATCCAAACCTTTTAAATATATTAAAATTGGAAATATAAAGTTTATAACAGAGTGTGAAACTAGAAGTAATTTTAAATATGGCCTAATTGTTAAAATTGAAACATTTTAAATATCCAAAATAAATAATAAAACGACAAATAAAATGTATTTTATTTGGAAAAAAATACTTACGTTTGAATAAGTAATGTTTTAACCAAAACTATCTTTCAAAAAAAGGTTTAGTTAAAACACCAGTGAAGACTTTAATCATCCAGTTATTGGTACAAAAAGATCATGCAAATGGAAACGATTGTTGTTTTAATTTATCATGAGGTTAAACGATTTATTGAGTTGTGTTTTTTCAACATTTGTATCTGTTTGCAGGCTTTCGGTGCGATGGAGCAGCTGAGGACGCACTGCGCCTCTGAAATCTCAGCTCTGGAGAAATGTGTCGGATCTCAGGAGGAGCTGCTAGCGGCTCTGAACCAAACCTGCCCGGATCAGGTGAGCAGACCAGTCGAAACGACTGGAGGCGCAGGAAAGAAAAAAGGATTCTATAGAACATCGCAAATTGACTTGTGGGAACTATGAATATTGTTCATTTAAGTGACATACATTTATTCTTAAACATATTTTTCTTTTAAGATAATTTCATTGGAATTTGATTGTCCAGTACGGAACCTTCTAGAATTGTTTGAAATGTTTTATTTGTTAACACTGCTGGTTTTTGAATTTTAAAAATTGTTTCTCAATCAAATTGCAATCAAATAAAATAGTTTGACACTGAAAGATTTGCATATTTAAAAATGACCTCGCTCTGTAAGAGTCGCCTCTTCTGATCCTGATCTGCATCGTGCTGCTTCCTCGTCTCCTGCAGGTTGCTCTGAATCGGACCTGCCAGGAAACGCTGAGCTCGGCCTCCGACCTTCTGTCCCGAACTGCAGAGGATCACTTCAGCCTGATGCAAGAGGTACGCTCAGCAGAGAAACAACGTTTCTCTGTTTCCAGCACCGTGAACTGAAACCAACAAAGTAACAAAAACTTTTTGCAGTTTAGAAATTAGAACCGTGATTAATGTGAAAAAACTAACTATGACGAATTCAAGCTGAAACGTATTGAAATTATAAATATAAAATCTTTGCTTGTGTGTTAACCTATTTATCAGCCTTTTAAACTGATGTGAAATAGATTTTTTATTTTTATGAAAAAACTAAAACTACTACTATAACTAAAAAACTTAGCAATATTTAACTAATAACTAATAAAAAGCAGCGATCTGAGTTAGAACAGAACAACTCAACGGGATAAAACTAAACTTTAACGTTTTACTCCCGCTGGTTTTCTCTCCGGCAGCTTTGCAGCGCGCGGCGCCTCCTGCAGGAAACGGCCCCGACGCTCCTTCAGCTGAACGAGCGAGCCGCCGCCGCGCTGAGGGAGAGGGACGAGCATCGGACGGCGAGAGAGCGAGCCACCGAAGAGAGAGAGCAGGTCAGATGAAAAGATGACAGGCTGGATTAGGCAGCTCAATCTGAGAGCAGATTATTGGAGGTTAAACGTGTACTTTTTAATTTTTCCATTCTTTCACTCCTTCATTGTGTTTTACGTCTTCTGTGTCCTTCGTAGTGAAATGTTAAGTTTTGTGTTTCATATTAAAAATTGGACTGATCGGCCTGATAACTTGGGACAGTTTCATTCTGAAATGTTGACAATAAAAATGTGTGTTTTAATTAAATCAGTTCTGTGTTCAGCGGTTTAACTCCAACGATCCTCTGCTCTACAGATTGAAGACGAGCTGAAGGAAACTCAGCTGAACCTTCAAACCGCCTCGCAGCAGATCAGCGATTTCAATCTGCAGATCACCATCCTGACTTCAGGTGGCGTTTCGTTCGCTCCCCGCTGTGTTTCTGCCTCTGTTTCAGACGTTTTAGTTTGTGTTTTGGTAAATTTCAGAGATGGGCGTCCTGCGGCAGAAACTGACGGCGGAAGAGGAGGAGTCCGCTCAGCTGGAGAGGAAGGTGACGGAGCTGTCGGCGACCATTTCCTCCACGCTGGCGTCCTACGCCTTCCTGGAGCAGGCGCTCGCCGCCGAGACCACTAAGTAGGATCCAGGGGTCAGAGGTCAGGACATCCGGTGATGAGGGGAAACCTTTGCTTTAACGTTTTTCTGTTTCTGCAGGCTGCAGCAGTCCTGGAAAGACTTGCATGAAGCCAACGACAGAGCAAATCAGTAAGCGCCGACTTTTAGGTTTCAACAATTTGAGAGAATTAAGAGAAACTAAAAGATTGAAGAGGAAGAGGAGGAAGGTTTTTCAGATTTCCAGACTTTTCCATCTCTTGTTTCCTTCTTTTATTCACTCCTTTCAGATCCTTCATTGCTTCCATTTAAATCCTTCCTTCCTTTCTTGCTTTTTCCCATCCTTCGGATCCTTCCTTCTTATGTTTTTCCTTTTTTCCTTCTTTCATTTCCCCTTTCCTTCATTTCTTCTTTTTTCAAATCCTTCATTCCTTTTTTCTTTTCTTCCTTCTCTCCTCCCTTTCCTTCTTTTCATTCAGTTTTTCAGTAAATTTCTTTGCCTGCTGTTTGTTTTCTCTCCTGTTCTCCTCCAGGCTGCAGGCGTCTCTGTCGGGTTCAGAGCAGCGGGTCAGTGAACTGGACCGGGCGCTGGCTGAGAGCGACCAGCGGCTCGGTCAGCTCCAGAACCTTTCCCAGTCTCAGACGTTTCAGATCCAGCAGCTGCAGGAAGTCTGCACCCAGCTGGGCGGCGTGCGGGAAATGAATGAGGTCAGCTGGAAACCCGTCATGTTTTAGAGATCTTTTATTTTGAAATGTATTTACTCAGCTTAAATCCCATTTACGTCTTGGAGATATATTATTTTTTGTTCTGTTGTCCAATCAACAATCACTTTTTGCACAAACTGCAGAAATATAAAATATGGACTAAAACCTGCAAAATTGCTAATTAAGACGTTTTTAAAGCTGCTTCTTGGTGTCCAGTGTTTACTGTTTGTAAAAATAACATTTGCATAATAAAGTGAATTTCCACTGCAGAGTTTCACCAAAGAGCACACAGAAAGAACAAAATGTTTTTATGTCAATAGAGCTACAAAAGTCACAGGTGTTGATGTGATCAGCTGGTTTTGCTGAAAAAGACGAGTGTTTTGTTGTAGTTTTCCCATCCAGAAACCAGTTACTACATTCTTGTTGATTGTGTAAAAATCAACAAGAACAATCAACAAGAACAAAACGCTTCTGCTTTTCAAAGACCTATGGTTGCATGTCCACACATCGCGCTTCATTTCAGCCATTTTTATTTCAGTTCCTGCAGATGGAGAATGAGCTGGCGAGGGAGCAGGTGGCCGAGAGCGAGCGGCTCCTCAGGAGCACCCTGCAGGCGCTTCGGGAGAGAAACATCGAGTGCGAAGACCTGAAATCAGAAGTGTGCAAACTTCAGTAAGTTTGTTTTATTTCTGTGTGTGATGGGATCTTTTAAACATCCAGCTAGTTAAGAGTCTCTCATTTTTCATGCAGGTTTAAATCGATCTGTTTGTTTTTTTTCTTTAAAGGCTTGAGAATCAGAGTCTGAGTGACGAGTTGGAAATGTCCCGCTGCGCAGCCGGCGCCGCTCGCATGGAGCTGCAGGAGAGGATGGCTGAGGTGGTCACTGAGATCACCGTCCTGCATCACACGCTGCGCGGTCTGATCACAGAGCTGCAGCTTTCCCTTAGCAGCCAGGTACTGAAGCATAAAGACTCAAAAAGGCCATTTGCTAAGAGAACAACACACTTGGAGCTGCAACAAAGACAAAAATGTACAAAAAATATAAACATTTTCCATTTAATATAAAAAACTTTTTATAAATATGTTCTACCCATTTAGTTTTGGTAGAACATATTTAGCACATTTTTCTGTCAATTATTCATCTAATTAATCCAAAAACTAATAAACATACCGGAGCCCTACTCTGTATTGAGTTTAGGATAAATGACTGAGCTCTTCACATTATTGACATTATTTTTTAGGCTGTAAATGAATCCTTTGCTACAAATGATCACCAAAGCAATGCTTTTTCAATTTAGACAAATGCTCATTTTTATTTTATTATATTTAATTTGCATATCTTAATATATTTCTAACATTGCTCAAAATCTGCCACTTTGCTTAGATGATTATCATAATAATCGACTACTAAGATCATTTATTGTCAGCCCTGCACAAAAACTTAGAAATAAGAAAAATGGTCAAATGAAGAACAAATGAAGTCAGAAAGACAAAATAATAAATCCTTCAGCTGGTAGTCAGATTGTTATTTATTTTTCTGAGAAAACTGAGTTCTGGAAACATAGTATGATTTTTTTTTTTTTTTTAAATAAAAAAAATCAAACATAAAATACCCCAAAAGTCCTGGAGAAGCCTTGACCACGGCCATTAAAAATGACAAATGGTCATAAAGAAGATCAGTTATTGCTTTCCTGAGAGTTTCTATGAATCTGGGGTTGTAAATGCAGCGTGTTGAGAGTTTTAAACATATTTCTACGCTTGATTATTTTGTTTTCAGAAGGAAGAAAACCAAAAGCAGAAAGAGTCGGCCGTGTTCTCCGGTGCGGAGCGCCATCAGACGTCCAGCTCCTTCGTCGACAGCGTCATGGTGGCTTTAACGGCCGAGAAGGAGGAAGACGTCAGAACAGACTCGACCTTAGGTGAAAACTTTTTAACTAACACGAGTTTGTTTGTTTGTTCCCGTGGCAATGGCTACTCCTCCAGAGGTCCATGTTATTAAGAGAAAAAACAAACATTTATTACAAAATAAATCTGATATAGCATTGGTGATGAATATTAATTGATGAGTGTATAATTATAACATTTTTCATGATAAAATAATTGAGAAGAGTCTTTTAAAAGCTCCAGCATTCGTTATATTTGAAACAAATGAAGGAAGTGAGAACCAGGTTTTCATTCCTGTTGCATGTTGAAAGGGTAAAACAGTCTAAATAAAGGAATGCCTTGTATTAAAATAGTATATAGTTTGGCTGAATAAAAGTTGAATATTTGGTTGTTTGTTACAACATCAAGTGTTTTCCCCTTGGGATCAAACATTTATTTTTTATTTTTAAATTTCTTTGTTTTCATCAACTGACAAATATTAAAAAAATATAAAACATTTTAGATTAAATTAGCATTTCATCTTTATCCATGTATTTTACTTTCAAATAATAAAGTGATTCTGCTTCACATGCAGATTAAGAATGTTGATTTGAGTCTGATTTGTGATCTTTGTTTCCCCTCAGATGCATCAGAGCCACAGAGTGACGCTTTTTTCAGCGAGACGAGCGCCTTCACCTGCGTCGCAGCTCTGAACCCGAAGACGATCTCGGGCCCGGTCCGGGGTGAAGAGGAGGAGGATGAGAAGGAGCAGAGCAGCATGGCGGAGGTCCTCTCCGGCCTCAGCAGAACCATCGCAGAGCTCATCAGCACGCTGCAACAGGCTCAGCGCCGCAGAGACGCGCAGCTGCAGGAGCTGCACAGCACCATGTAGGTGGACGATATGAGGCAGCAGATGGGATCTGATTTATCCGGATTTAATGCATAAATAATTTTATTACTTATAGTTTCTGTTTAAAATTATACAGTGGTAAAAACAAAAATGTCTGACATGATTTTCCAACAGCAGAAAAGTCAGAAAAAACTTTTTGGATGTTAAGATCCATCGTTTTTTCAGCCGTTAATGTTTTAGCTTACCAAACAATTTTTTATATGTCTTATATATTTAATTTGAATGTTGGCGGTAAAAGTTTGTCTAATTTTTGGGAGATCGGTTGATACTTAAATGTGAAGGCAATCTTGTCTATTTGGGGCAACAACAACTTGGTCTTAAGATTTTTGATTCTTCCCCCTCTAATGTTTTCATGCTGTTCCAGCGGTGGCCTGCAGATGGAGCTGCAGACCTCAAGAAGCAGCCATCAAGATGAAGTCCTTGAGCTGAAGCAGGAGGTGCGGCGCCTCAGCAGCCTCGTGGAGAGAGGAAACCAGGCTCTGCAGCAGAAAGCTCAGGTCTGGACTCCTGATGTTTCTGCATCTGTTGTCGGGTTGCGATTCAGTCTGACATGTTTAAATGATGGATTTATTTTTCTCCACATAGGACGAGAAAACTCTGACTAAGCTGATGACAGACGTTCAAGAGGCCCAGGAGATTTTAAGCAAACACAAGAGCGACAACAATGTATTACTTAAACACAGATATGAGCTTTAAGGAACCATTATTGTTATTCAGTTTTGATGTTTTAAATTCCCCCCACAGGAGTTGCGAAGGGATGCGGCTGAGCTGCGTCGCGCCCTGCAGCAGTCCAGAGTGGAGTCCCAGTGCCTGCGGGAGGAGCTGAGGAGAACCGGCGGCCCGGCGGCGGCCTCGGCTCGCCACATGGAGGAGAAGATCCAGCTGCTGAAGGAGGTCAGTACCGCTGCTTGCTAATTACAGCGGGTAAAATAAGCATTGATCAATATTTTCCAACATATTTCTGACATGCAATTTTCACCAGCTGTTGCTAACAACTTGATCCATACATTGAACAAAATTAAACCTAATAAGGTTTTGATTTTTGCCCATTTTACCTTGAAAACGTCTTTAAATTTCAGATTTTTAGTTCTTTCCATATATTTTCAATTGGATGATTCTAACAGATTTATTTTCTTTCTCTGAAGCCAGTTGGGTTTTCTCGGCTCTGTGTTTGGGATTATTGTCTTGCTGAAATCTCCACCCTCATTTCATTTTTATCATTCTGGTAGATTCCAGCAAGTTTTTATTCATCCTCCTTTGAGTTTTTTTAAATGTTTTTCACTACCATATGCAGGAAAACAGCCTCCCATCATGATGTTCCCATCTCCAAACTTTACTGTTGAACAGACATAGATGATGGGGCTAGCGCTCGTCATCTATAAGCCAATCAGATGTGGGAGTGGCTACGTAAGAAGTGTTTTGGTGAAATTGTAGTCTGTGTTTTTACAGAGGTGTTATGATGATGTCTCACACTTTTTAACTGTGTGATTCTGGGAGAGTCTGGTGGAGCTAGCAGAACATTGTCCAAAAAAAACCCCCTCATCCTCTCTTGTCTTCTTTTGCGTTTCCAACAGTAGTAGCATGACTCGTGATGATAAAACTTTTTCCATTGGAGTTTTTTTTTCTTGAAATTATCCTGTTTCCATTAAGCAGATTTATTTTTGTAAATTCAATTTGTGCAATTTTGTGATTTCAAAGATTTCGAAAATATGTTTAATAAGAAACATTGTGACACATTGAATACTTATTTTTTGATGTGTTTTTTCCACCAGGTGGAGAAGCTGAAGGCCAGTCTACAGGAAGCAGTGCAGGCCAAAAATAAACTCCTGGAAAGAGCGCAGCGCCATGTGAGTGCTGATCGTATCGATGGGCTCACAGATGTGATCACACACCTGTGTGGGAAAAAACTAGACAGTCGTGTTTATTATCATGACATCTCTTTCAGCAAATCATCCATCAGAACAACCAGCAGAAGTCAGAGAATGAGCTCCAGATTTTAAACCACGTGATCAATAAAGTCAGACAGGTGAGGCATTTATTCTGTTATAGTTCATATTTGTGATTTTATCTTTTTCTAACGTTTGATGGATGCGTTTTCATTTCCTCACAGACTCTCCTCTCGATACCAGAAGTGGTGAAACGTTGCGAACAGCTGCAGCAGCTGGTGGATTACATCGGCTGAAGTGTTTCTGATTGTCGACACTTGTTTAGATTACTTTTGTTTTTGTGTTCATTGACTTGTTTTTAATCTTTAGAATGATTAAAATATCTTAACATATTGGACATGTCATTTCTTTTTGTCAATAAATTAAAAATCAACAATTTAAACAGTCTCGTTCAATCTTGATATTTTCTCGCATTTCATCAAACTTTTTCTGGTTCTAAAAAATAAAATACTATTTGAGAACTTTACTGTTAAAATGCTGATGTCCAAAGTGTGGCCCAGTGGCCATTTGTGGCCCTTGGCATGATTCTGTGCAGCCCTTGTCCACAATTCAACATTAGTTGATCATTATTCCTCTTTTGTCAAGCACATTTTTGCTTTTAGTTTTATTTTTTGTGTTGCTGCCTTTTGGCCTGGACTCCATTGAAAAAGATGTTTTTAATGTGAAGAATTATATATATATATATATATATATATATATGTGTGTATGTGTGTGTGTAAAACAAAGATGGTACATACCACCAAAACATTGAGTAACTTACTTGAAAGTAGAACTGGGATGTTCCAATGTACTATGCAGAATAAGAGAGTTTGAAGAAAAAGAGGGATTGTATCATGTTATTGTAGAATGGAATACATACAAGTATAAAAGTGACAACATTTTTTTAGAGGTTAATATGTAATAAGAGTAGTAATTAAGCAAGCATTGCATTGCTCTAATCAACTCAAGGTCCCTTAAAAACAATGACAATTTGTCATTGATCTGTGAAAAACTCCCGACCCAGTGGATCTTTACACTGTAACTGTAAAATCTAATAAATTATTATTTTATAGTGAGGTTTTGAAAGTGCAGCTCTCCTTAAACATAAATGTTCCGGGTTCGTAGCTGTACTGCACAGTTCAAATGTACCGTTGCATTGTGGGAAATTTACCGGCTGGAGGCTTTAAACGGGATCAATAATCACTTCGACCCGGTAAATAGCTTTTGAATCACATTTTTATTGAACTTTTGTGTCTGTCAGTTGACAAAAATGTGTTTTATGTGGTTATATTGAGCTACTCGAGCGTCTAACTTTTTTATTTGCTAAAGTTGACTTCTGTTAGCTTTAGCTAAACTAGCATCTTGTGAAAAGCAAATAAATGGATTTTAGTTCCGTTTTGACGTTTGTGTTTCATCCAAAATATGCCGATGGTTACATTATTAGCTAACACTAAAGTTAGTGGTGACATTGGGGTAAATATATATACTGTATGAAATGAACCAAATCCTTTGAAACGTGTGTGCTCCTCCTCAGCGGTGGCAGCGCTGCACCAAGAACTACTGAAGCAAACTACACAAAACTTCAGAACTCACTGAGCACAACTTCTGTCTTCACAACAGGTAAGGGAAAATGGAGTAACATCGGATTTTAGTGGTTGTAAAAAATTTTGTGGTTGTGATAAAAGAGGATGAGTTATTTCTCTTGCTAACACTAGACTTGTGTGTTTGTTTTGGTTGTATTTACTCAGAATACCTTCACCATAGTTTGTTTCCTGCTTTTGATGCGGTCTCCGGTTCCCACAGCGTTCACCTTTGCATTTGAACCGCACTTGAGTTCATTTAAACCGAACCATGACCGAAGATTGTAAACGACCCGAGATCGATTGCATATTCATACCTCCCCAGATGAACCAAACTTTCCAGACAAATAAAGTAGAGTTGGATTAAAGTGAACCAAACAAAACAACGCTTACTTTGCATTCTAACCCTTGACAACGGGAGTTTGACATCTGCGCAGTTGAGTAAACAAACTATTAAACAATGGTGACCTTTCTTTTTTGTAATACAGACACCGTTTTAAAATCATTTGATATTTCTTTTTGATAACTTTGGTTGAAAAAATAGCGACAGTGACGATAAGAAGCAGGAAGACGATAGTTTGCCTCGTGTGTTTACATTTGGTTCTCCCGCCCAACAAGTAGACTTCATGTTCTCAAAAGTAAAAAGAAAAACTCAACAGATTTGGAGCAAATTAAACGAACTAAAGGTGTGAAAAGAAAACGCCCTCAAAAACAAACTTTACAAACTGATTTGAAAAAAAAAAAACTGACTTTCCAAACAACCCTGAGCATCGTCGTTGTGCTCCAACTGACCTGAATCAAATTAGACATGTATCTCTGCAGATCCTGGTATTGACTCATTAATTTGTGGATATAAAAGTTTCAGGATGGCAGTGCTGCATGACTGAACTTCAAAAAAGTTGCATAAAATGAGTTAGAACAACTTTCACTCCCGTTGTTTTTATATGCAAATAAGGAACAGAAACCCAGGTTGGGCCCAACTGGCTGATACCTTTATTATCATGTAGCTGTGTAGCCTCCAGGCAGAGAGCCATATTGCTCACGTTAAAAATTCACTAATATATAATTTAAAATGTGGTTAACACCAAGCGACGGTTTTCAGACATGTGATGCATTATGGATTAAGCAACATAATTGACATCTAATGTGATTCACATTGTGGATTTTTTTCGTCTAATTTTCCACCTAAGTTGCTTTTCTGATTGACAAAATGCTTGTTTCTCTCCTTCCTCTTCTTATTACACAACAGCTTTCTGCGACAAGAATCATTTACATATGATTTTCCACATTCTCTGATTTGAATATAGACAAAATTATACCAAGAACTTCACTTTTTTTTTGAGTGCAGTGCATGTCAGAAAATTTAAATATAATCAGGTTTTCAGTTTGTATCATCATTTAAATGCCCCCAGAACCTTTTTTAAACGGTTGCTTCCTAGCTTCTTAGTTTTTACTCACAACAAAAATCCAAATATCAATTGGAAACATAGAATATTAAAAGCGGAAATGGATAAATGATGTTTACAGATAAAATTTTCAACATACTTCTAATTTTTCAACACCTCTCTACTTCAGATTTTTATGTACTATAACTCTAGTAGTAATAAATAAAGGAAAGAGTATTAACACTTCTGTAACATTTCCTCGGTTTATCATGTTGCAACCAGAACCGTCTGGGTTTCATATTAAAGCCAAACACAGGTGGCATAAAATTTTAAGTGAAAGAAAAAGAATAGATGCTTTCTAACATTTTCCTAAATTAAACCCTGAAACGTGTTGGGTGCTTTTGCATTCAAGTCCTGCATGAATCAACGACTTTCCACGCAGTGGAAGTTGCGAGTGTTTTCGGGGGGAATGTCTGATAACGTTTGGATGTCTTTCAACTGAATGTTTTACCCATTCTTCTTTGCCAAAAAATAAGTAAATCAATCTCATACAGTTTAAACAAAAAGTGTCTGATGTTTGAAAACTTTGCCACAGATTCCAAGTCTTCGCAATCGGCTGCACTACACTTTAGATAGGGGTGTCAGAGTAAGTGGGGTGAATGGAGCATTCCACATTTACAGATTTTATTTGTACCTTTTGTTGTTTTTTGCAAACTGTGCATTAATTTACCTACGTCCGTATAGATGTCAGAAAATTCCTTTTAAATTTGTGTTTGTGACGTGACAAAATCTAGAAATTAAATATGGCAGCATGTTTTGCTGAGAGCATAAATAAGAATGCTCCTTAAGTGTCTAAAAACCAAAGTAACTTGACTTTTTTAAAACTTTGTTTTTCTCATTCGTCTGTCAAGTGTTTTTTTCCCCTGCATGCAGATTTCTTTGGAAGTTTGTAAAGGTGTAGTTAATCAGTAGGTAAATATTTGCTCAGGTTGGAGGATTGCTCTGCTCAAGCCTTCTCCCAATATTATTACACAGGGTCAACTATGTACAGTTACAGGTTTTATTGGTTTTCTAGTTGTGTAACTGGGTAATTTTAGGTTTTGTCATTAAAGGAGTGAAATTATTGCGGCTTGTCATGTTCCTCCTTTCCAACTAAGAATTGTAAAAAAAAACCCATAAAAAATATGGAAACATATATATTATCTTAATAAGAAAATATACCTCTTATCTTGTACAAAAACCATAGAGTCTCACATTTAGAGGTAAATAAACGAAGCATTTAGGCAACAAAGCTGGTTTAATGGATGATAATGAAGCGTTTCCCTGCGAGTCTCGTCTTGTCAAATCCTCAGACTGTGGAAGAGTTTTCTGAGCTCCATGTTGGTTTTGCGTGATGAAATATCGAGTTACTAAGTCAATTCATTTTCTTGATTATTGAAGTGAAGTGCTGAGCTGATGTCTGGACATGATAAAGTGGAGTCCGGTCACAGTGAGTGGTAAAGTTGCGGCTCCAGACGACACTTCAAACCAGCTGAGCTGAGACGCTGAAGGAAGCAGCACAAAAAAATAATGCTTCTCTCTATTTAATTTGGAAGTTGGGGCCCGGATATATTATTTTAATTTACTACTTTTGTAAGTATTTGCTATAAGAAATATTTTTCCATCCTTTATATGATAAAAACTGAGTAATTTTATTTCAGAACAATTTAAATGCAATAGTTTACCAGTAATTAAATGTTTTTTATTCATGAAGACAAAGTGCTCTGTCAGTTTATTTACAAAAAAGCAAAGAAAATATACATTTTTGTTTAAAAAAAACCCCCCAAAAAACAAGGACATGCACACTTTCTTTCTACAATTAATTCTCTACAAACAAACCTGTAAAGCCAGTAACCATGAAGCACAATAATTTATATGAACATAACAAATTCTGTTTTTGAAGCTCAGCAGGCTTGTGGGTGTTTTATCCGTTCACATTGTGACAAAAAAAGGGGAGAAAAAGGTACATTTCAGTGAAAACATACAGAATGAGAAGATGGGCTTTTAAAATAAAAGCAAGAAAAAAAATCACATTTATCATCTCAGTCTGCTCAGTTTAGAGAAAACAAGTCATGTTTGTGCGCTTGAATGTCACTTTCTGATTGGAGCCAACGTCGAGGTTCAGCGGCTCAGATCGCGGGAACAAACCGGTCCATGGTCCCGGGATACGACGGGTGTCTCAGGTAGCTCCCGCTGTTGGTAGCCGCACCCGCCGTCGCGCTGTTGTACTGGGAGAACGAGCCGAGCTGCACTGGAGACGCCCGGCCGTAATGGTCCACTGTCTCTGCAGAGCCGTGGGCCGCACCGTGGATCCGGCCTGCCGAAGCGTAACCTGGGCTGTGGCCCTGTCCGTAGGAACCCTGGTGGGCGTGATGGTGCGGGTGGCCGTTTGGGCCAGAGTAGGTGAACCCAGGGTGCGTCGCGGAGCGGGGCGGCACCGCTCCCCCGCACGGCTGACCCTGGAACCCCGGCGTTCCCAAGCTGCAGGCGGCGGACCCGTTCGGCAGCCCCTCCGGACTAAAGCTGCGGCCCGGCTGCTGCATCATCTCCGCGCCCTGACCCGCCAGCATGCCGGCTGACGCAGGATGTCCGATGATATTGTTGATGCTAAACATGCGGGTCTGGCCGTGTGCGAACCCAGGTGGCGATGATGAGGGGTAGTATGCGGCTGAGGGCAGCTGCTGGCCGTACGCAGGGTTGACCGCCATGTTGGGGTACATGGAACCGGAGTACGCCGCTGACCTGGTGATCTGGACCGGGGAGAAAACCGGCGTCTCGTGGACATACGCGGCGTAGGTGCTGAGATCGCAACGCTTGAACCTCTTCCTGCGCCTCAGGAAGCTGCCGCTCTCAAACATGTCCTCTGCGTTGGGGTCCAGCGCCCAGTAGTTGCCCTTTCCGGGTCGCCCGGGTTCCCGCGGGATCTTGATGAAGCAGTCGTTCAGCGTCAGGTTGTGGCGAATGGAGTTCTGCCACTTCTTGGAGTTGTCTCTGTAGAAGGGGAACCGCTCGGTGATGAACTTGTAGATCCCCCCCAGCGTCAGCTTGCGGTCGGGGGAGTTGGCGATGGCCATGGAGATGAGAGCGATATAGCTGTACGGCGGTTTCCCCCTCTGCAGAGGTCTCTTCCTCCGCCTGCCGCGCGGCTGCTGATCCTCTGTCTGTGGGGAAGGGCTGGAGGACGGCAACCCGGAGTCCGCCGGAGACTCTTTCTCCACTTTGACCACCGGCATTATCATTGCAAAACCCCCCAACAAGAGATTCTCAAGAGGTCCTCCTTAAGAGCAAGGAACCAAATTATTTCTGGGGAAGGGGAAACCAGACATCTGTCAAAAAATCTTAAAAAAACCTACTGTCTCCGAGTCCAAATCGAGCAGATCTTCCCCTGGAAGACGAGTAAATTTCCTCTGTTAAAAGGTCAGAGCGACTTGTTTTCCTGGCTCGCTGTCAGCTGCAGTGAGAGGTGAGCTGTGAGAGTGCCATTTGCTTTAAGGTGTGAGAAAGAATGAGTCACTTAGTTACCTGGAGAGCGTTTTACCTGTAGGGCCACGCCCCCGGAGCATCACATGCTCCATGCATACCTGAGCTTCAGGTTCACGAGGGTTTGTTGTTCACA